CATATTTACAGAAATTGGAAAATATAAAAGCTTATGATCTGCAACCATTGTTTGAAAGAGTAATTAGAGAATATCCTCTAGTGAGAAAAAGAAAACAACTCCAGACAGAAAAAGTTATTGACCATCTTTCAAAACATACAATAGGAATGGCAAACTCCTTCAATGTTCACCTGTAGTCCCCCTAAATGGCTCCCGAAACTTGAATTACAGGTGTCTGGAGCATGCTTCCTTGGTTTCTGTTTTTCTAGAAGTATAGGTTGCCTTTAAATTTAAATATAATTTTCAGCCAAGCTGTCAATATTACATATTTTCTTATAAACAGGATATACTGATTTGGTGTCATTGTATTTAGGTTAACACATTTTGTCAGTGTTGTGTATTATAATAATGTGCAAGAAATATATAATAAGGAATATAAATTATATTCTAAGTAAGATTTTTCTTAATATCTGAAAAACGAAGGCATCAATGAATAGCAAGGAAAATGCAATGATACCTAAGTATTAATTTTTTTTAAACTTTAACTTGTTATTAAAATATTTACATGATCATTCTTATTTTATAAATATTGCATTGAGGACTAATATCACACAATGTTTAGGGCATTATTTTAGTGTTTGGCATATCTGAGTTTTACTCAGCTTTTATGACTTCCTGGAATTTTACCCAAGGTAAGTGCTTCAACCTTATTAAGTATAAATTACTTTCTCTTCAGAGATGTCTTTCATAAATATTCATTCAAATATATATCCCCAATATCCCAGTTTATCACTATGATTTTATTCTTCTTACTTTTGCTTGGTAGTAGTTATCACTACTGCAGGTCTTAGTATATATTTGTTACTTTATTTATTATCAGTCTTTACAACGGCAATGTAAATTCCATGGGGCACACATGGGTATCTCTAGCCCAGGACCAATCACAATGTCTGAAGAATAGAAATCACTCAGTAAATATTTAGTAAAAGAACGAAAAAAATGCATGAGTGAGTAAGTGTCCTGGAAAGACGTTTTAATAAATCAGCTTATTTATTTTCTAAATTAGACTATACATCTCAAAAACACACGATTGATAATTTATTTGTGAACGAGAACAAAATGCATTCAAACAGAAATATAACACATTGCATTTGAATAGTATTGCTGCCTGTTTTAATAAATACGACCACCTCTCACAGGGTCAGGAGTAGAAAATGATTATATTATGTTTTTCACTTGGTAGAAATTGATGCTCAGAAATTTAAAATAAGCTCTATGTATGTATGTGTGTGTTTCCATGTAAGTGTGTAGATATACAGATATTAATATTGGTATATAGATATTCAGGAAGAGTTGAAACCAGAAGTATCAGGACTCTTAAATTCTAGTGTACATTTCTTCTGCTTTAAGTTGTCTTTTAAACACAAATTTTGTTTTCTTTCAACATTGCTTAATTAGTGTAAATAGAAACATAAGAGAAGCTTTGCCAGGTGATGGCTGAAGCCACAGTAGGAGGGGCATTATCTTAATTACACCACTGGTCTGACTGATAGAGACCAATAGTGGCTAGATTCATTTGAGCAATTGATTACGCCATTCTCACAGTCCATCTGTGTACTAATGGGAGTGGCGATGCCAGTGCCAGGCTAATGACAATCAGAATTCTGCAAGTAATAACACTTTGGACTGATCTTTTGGGCAGAGTTATTTGCAGGGTATGCAAATGGAAAGTCATTAATCAGTATTCTCAAGTTCTTCCTTCCTTTCTCTGAAACCCTTCAGCATCATTGGTCCCTCTTGAATATTCACATGCATTTCTTAAGTTATTTTCTCCTCCAAAAACAGCTCTCTGAAGTAAATTATATTTAGGATTCTTAATCACGGAAGGATTTTATTTTTTTCTGTGATCCAGTGGATGACACCAACAGGGCAAACACTGAGAAGCAACAGCTTTTAAACAGCATGCCATAGGACATACGGCGAGTACATTTCGTAATGAAAGGTTGTGTAATTTACAAATCGTTTGGTAAATTGACAATCTAGGAGGTTTTCTATTATTGCCACTCTTCACTGCATCTCTTTGTTTTGTTATCTTAGTAATTAACCTTGTATCTTACATTTAAAGGAAAACAATTAAGCTGCAAGTTTCGCATGCTTTTATGATTCTGGGAGAAAGATTTTGTAATATTTGACTGCTTTGTAACCATAATCAAGGTTTATCCTGGTTCTTCTTAAAGATTCATTCCAGAAAACTAAATATTATAACAAAAGTAATAATTTTATTAGGATAAATGTATGCCTAGTGTTCAGTCCCAAGTTACATAGAGACAAAAAAAAAAAAAAGAAAAGAGAAAGAGAAATAGAAGCCATTTGCTTAGAGAGATAATAAGCAGTGATATGCACTATAGTCAACTATATTGAATATAGCCTCATAATTAGAATTCTTTTATATTGAGTGAATTGCTTAAACTTGTAATTTACATTTCAAATATCAAATTATTTTAAACTATATTGAATAGAATATCATATTATCTATCAGCTGTAGCATAAAATTACATTTTTGCAGTAAGCTAAGCAAACTTTTTTCAAGTCATAAAAGAAACATTTTACAAAGAACATTTACTGGAAGAAACAAAGGAAGTAACCTATTTTAGAAGAGTACTTGTTTATGTATAATATTATTTATAAATTTTTTTCAAAAGGCATGGCGTCTTTTTGCAATTTTAGTCATTACATATGATCAGACGAACATTTAATGTGAGAAACATTCCAGAGAAAGCAACAATGTGTGTTTAGCAATGCCATCACTCATCCAAAATAAACTCTTCTATAACTTCACTCTAAGTTGTGTTCAAGCCCTCTGAGTTTTTTCAGGTATTAGCAATTGCTTTTTATCTGCCACCTGTCAAATGCAGTGTAGTTTACTATTCAGGTTTTGTTTCTTTTCCTTTAAGTATATCTATTTCAACCTTACTTAATGTATACAAATATCAAAATTACTTTGTGGTAAATTTTGTTCTTAAAGTGATGCTTTGTTAACTGAAAAGCTATATTCCGATTTTTTAGCATCCTTAATTTTCTTATACTGGTAATCTGTACATTATTCTTCAGAAGATAATAGCTTAGTGTTATACTTCAAAACAGATTTGAGATCATGTTTTAAACTTTACTTGGTTGCTTGTCTATGTGAAAATGATTATTTTCCTCCTCATTTAAATCTGTCATTAAAGATCACAAATACTCTCTCCTATAATATTCTTCTATGAAAATAAGTTCTATAAAAGTCTTCATTTTCTATATTTGAGGGAAATTAATATAATTGTGTAAGTTCCCTTTTAGAATTGTTCTTATAATCAAAAAAACAGATGTCATGCAATGGTGAATATACTGTATAAAAAAAGAAGCCATATGATGTTTTATGGTATTGTCATAAAAGCCTTTTAACACTAACTCGTCTGAAATATAATCAAGGGAATTAGAAAACAGTATTGTAATTTTAGGATAGGAAGTTGTTTCAGAAAGTTACGTAAATAATGTAACTTCACAACTCCACTGACATGACTAAGTAAATTCTTGCTGTGCCTCTATGAATTAAAAAAAAGTTAGTTTTGCACAAAGGTAAACATATAAACCTTGCTCTGGTTTGAACCCCTGATTCATTTTTTTTAAATTAATGTGTAATGCTAGGTATGTGTATCAGCAATTTTCCACCTATTCCTAACCAATAATGAGTTTTGTGTTGAACATTGCCAAACTTATAAAAGATTTAAACACTGAGCCATAACCAAAGGACACATGAATTATAATATATATAATTCTGTGTGTAAATAAAAGTAAATATGTATATACTTTATAGGTATGTCAAGTATTACAATTAATGCAGATATTAACCTCCATAATTAGGTCATCAAGCACCAATCTCATTGCATTCTTTATATTCCATGTGTTATGCCTCTATATTACATAACTGCTGAATAAAATATATGCTGATAGGTGGGCAGATAATGAAAATGTAAGTAAATGACAGTCTACTAAAGAAAACACTAAAGAGCCTGAATATTTTGTCTTCATTTCTATTGGATTAAAAAGCTATCATTTCTTTTCCAGATGTGGTGGCTCACGCCTGTAATGCCAGCAGTTTGGGAGCTTGAAGGGTCCAGATCATTTGAGGCCAGGAGTTCCAGACCAGCCCAGCCAACATGGCAAAAACCCCGTCTCTACTAAAAATACAAAAATTAGTTGGATATGGTGGTGCCTGCCTGTAATCCCAGCTACTTGAGTGACTGAGACAGGAGAAGCACTTGACCCCAGGAGGCTGGGGTTGCAGTGAGCAGAGATCGCAACACAGTACTTCAGCCTGGGTAACGGAGTGAGACTCCCTCTCAAAAATAGATAAATAAATAAATAAATAAAATAAAAATTTAAAACCTACCATTTCTGAAGTAGAATAACTTTCTGTAAAAATATGACTGTTTTATATTTCCCATAATTTGCAGCATTTATAATCTTAATATTTTCGGTGTCTTTTCACTCAAAAATATCCTCAGTCTACAGTGATCTTCCTCAAAATCATCCACATTAAGGAACTCCACATCAAAGAGTAGTATTAAGCTTTATCCTGTCACAAGGAATGTGCCAATCAGCATTAAAATCATCACATGCAAATTATAGAGGAAAGAATCACCAGCAGAAAACATATCATATCTTAGTTTTCATACTTCATTCCTTTTAATTCACACATTTGTGACAGTATAAGAAAGTTTGAATCTTTCCTGAAATACATTACATGTAGAACCTGAAATGAATATTTGAACCATGCTGTGAAAAATAGGCTGAAAAACAAACAGAAACTAGTGGCGATGAAAGAGGCATAAACCTGTAATCCTACTTCGATTAGTTTGTTAAACTAAATCGTAGTTTAACAAATAAATGATACACAGTCGATAGCACTGCTTGCCACAGACTAGTTTCCTTATGTTCTTCTGGTACTTGTTTTTCAATCTATTCTTAATGGAAAAGTGTGTTGATAATCCTTACAACTGCAGGTCTCATCAGAGTGCGTCTAAGAAGAAACCTGACATATTTGTGTAGAAAAGTGTTTGGGTAAGAAAAGTTCATTCGAAGTATTTCCTGCTTTTTCATTTTTTCTTATGTAATGCTATTTGGCTTGACTTATTTCTATAATGAATTATTTTCTGTATTTTTGTTGAAATTTTTAGTTGATTCCTGTTTCTTTAGTAAACTTATTTGTAGGTCCTCAAGGGAATCTTACTTTGAAGCTCTTAATGGTTCAAAAGCAATATTTAGTATAATTTAGTTAAGATTATATTTAAAATATTTTAAATTGAGGCTTTTAAATTAAAATCTGACAGGATAAATAGTTTACTTGTACACAAAAAAATTTCAGAACATTAACTATTTGCTAATCCTATAAATTTTATTTTATTGTACTTTAAGTTCTGTGATACATGTGCAGAACGCTCAGGTTTGTTACATAGATATACACGTACCATGGTTGTTTGGTGTACCCATCAACTTGTCATCTACATTAGGTATTTCTCCTAATGCTATCCCTCCCCTAACTCCCACTTCTGACAGGCCCTGGTGTGTGATGTTCCCCTCCCTGTGTCCATTCGATTTTATTGTTCCACTCCTACTTATGAGTGAGAATATGCACTGTTTGATTTTCTGTTCCTGTGTTAGTTTGCTGAGAATGGTGGCTTCCAGCTTCATCTATGTCACTGTAAAGGATATGAACTCATCCTTTTTTATGGCTGCATAGTATTCCATGTGTATATACAGACTGGAGCTGTTCCTATTCAGCTATCTATAAATCAAATGCTGGCACATTTCAGTGGTGAATAACATTATAAAGTGTTAATTGGTATCAAGGGTAGTTACTTTTACATCGTGCTCATTAACTAGGTGGAATTCATTCATTCAGAACTTAGCAGACACTTGTCTCATTTGTAGGCAATGAAAGCCCTGATTCATAAAACTAGAAAAATCTTAATACATCTTAAATTTAAAATTTCAAATGATATATTAAAACAAAACTGAAATGAGTGCATTATGTAGCTATAGATACTAAAGTACATTTAGAATGACACAAATTGTGAATTTCATATAAAAGAGATGATAACATTTCAACAAATAAATGTCATAAATTTTGATGACTAAAAATTATGCTATCTGGAATGACTGTTTGAGTGTACAAATAGAGATAAATTGCACAAATAATAAGAGATAGCCAGGGACCACATAATGATGTTTTGGTCAACAGTGGACTGCATATGTGATGGTAATCCCATAAGATTACCACGGAGCTGAAAAATTCCTATCACTTAGTATTTATTATACGATATTTTAAAAACTATTACTTTATAGTATACTCCTTCTACTTACAAAAAAAAAAAAGTTAACTGTAAAAAGCCTCAGGCAGTTCCTTTAGGATAAATCTTAGAAAAAAGCACAGTTATCATAGGTGAATCCCACTCCATGCGTGTTAATGCTGCTGACAACCTTCCAGGGGCACCAGATGTGGAGGTGAAAGACAATGATATTCATGATTCTGATCCTGTGTAGGCCTAGGCTAATGTGTATGTTTGTGTCTTAGTTTTTAATAAAAAATTTTAAAAGTAAAAATAAATAAACATTTAAGAAAACATATAATAAGAACATAAAGAAAATATTTTGTACAGCTGTAACATTTTGTACAGCTGTACTTTGTTTTAAGCTAAATGTTATTTCAAGAGTCAAAGGTTAAAAAAACAAAAGTTTATAAAGAAAAAAGGCTATAAAGAGCTAAGATTAATTTGTTATTGAAAAATAATTTTTAAAAATAAATTTAATGCAGTCTAAGTTTACAGCGTTTATAAACTCTATAGTAACAAAATAATGTCCTAGGCCTTCAAATGCACTCACACCCACTCACTGACTCACCCAGCGCAATTTCCTGTCCTGCAGCCTCCATTCATAGTAACTTTCCTATACAACTGTACCATTTTTATCTCGTGTATCATATTTTTTATCATATCCTTTCTATGCTTACATATACAAATACCTTTGTGTTTACGTTTACAAATACAGCTGTCTAGAGTATTTAGTACAGTAATATGCTGTACAAGTTTGTAGTCTAGAAGCAATAGAGCATACTATATAGCCTAGATGTGTAGTAGGCTATACCATTCAGGATTGTGTAAATACACTCTATGATGTTCACAACAATCAGAATTTCTGTTGTTAATGTATGAGTGTATAGCGAATGTTTCCAGATTTATTGTATTTGATATGCTACCCCATTCTCCAGTTACCATAAATTGTATTCATAAAAAGTGTATATCAACTACAGGTAATTCCAAACGTTAGAAACTGTATTAACTGAATTACATTTATATATCCATGCAAATTAATAAATGAACACATTATGATAGGCTACAATTACATATTTATGGGAGGGAGTCAAATAGGTCTGAAAGGCCACCAACATCAGGAGCAAATCAAATTCTTTTTAAAAAGAAAAATTCCCAGAAACTTTTCCAGAAATAATGAACCAAATCTTTATGTGAGGGTTCAGGAATATACATTTTAACAAACTTCTTCTTAGGTGAAGTTTGGTACATTAAAGTGTGAAAAGTTTCTGCCCTAGTTTATATTTTCAATTTTCAATTGAAAATTCTTTCCATTTTAGAAGAGTGTGTACTGGCATGGGCATATGTGGGGTTTCATTTGCATAAAAGCAATTTAAATTATGATTCTCTTCATTAATCAGAAATAATTAGAGCTGTTAGTATGCATTAGGGGTCTAACTGAGCTCAGTGCTCTACATGTATTATCTTAAATGTCCTTGGAAAATTTAAAGTAGTTACAGGGGTTAAGTAAAAAACTTCAGGGAACCAAAAAGATGGTGGGGACCCAGGGTCAAAATCAGATCTATGGGACTCCTAAGCCCTTGCTTTTTTTACTGTTTCAGGCTAATTTGAATTACTGGTAAGAGGGGATTTAAACATTTGGATATTGTGCTGAAAGTTTTATCATTGTTTTCCACATCCATTCTTTTCTTTTTTCTGTTTTAATCTTTATAGATTTAATGAACACAAGTGCATTTATATTTTATGAATATATTGTGTAGTGGAAAATTCTGGGCTCGTAGGGTGCCTATTATCTGCATAGCATACATTGTACCCAGTAGGTAATATTTCATTTCTTACCTCATCCCATACTCCACCTTTTGGAGTCTCCAAAATTTATTACTCTGCTTTGTATGTCCATTATTTAGCTCTTACTGATAAGTAAGAATGTGCCTTTTTTTTTTTTTTTTTTTTTTTTTTTTTT